AAAATCTGTCCTGTCTTCACTTCGTGCCAATTAAAAAAGAAACCTTCCTTTTTTATGAACAGGTAATCCCTTAATTCGGGATAGAGTTGGGATGACTGGATGGAGCTGAGCATTTACTAATCAGATACCATTCCTGACACCATGCAGAGTTCACAGCAGATATTTTTTCTTTGTGTCATAGGAGAGAAATATCAGCTGCTACCTAAGAGTGAACTCTCAACCTTCTGACTGGGAGGCAAGAGTCTTCACTTCTAGATCACCATCCCGCGTGGTGCCAATTCACTTGCATGCCAATAATGCTTTATTAAAAGAGAATACAACAATAACTTTTAGTTGTAATTATTCTAGCAGAATTTAATCTACAGTGTGCGGTATAAAACAGTGATTTGACTACAAATCAGTTTCTTAAAAGAAAAATCAACCTACCTTTTAAAAAGTTAATCTTCCAATATATCCAGCAACAAAGTATGGGCATTTAAAAACACCTTAGCAACTGTAGAGTCATTGGCTTAAACACGTACATTCAGAATATAGATGTGTGGGCCATTTTTTTTCACAATCAGGTTTTTTAAAAACATGATAAATGTGCATTTGGTGACCATTGATAAGGCACAAACATTCCCTTGAGATTGCATTTCTCTTACTGAGATATTGTATTTCCCCATTATTCAAACCATTATATCTTGTATCTGAAAACTCATCCTCTGGTTATGAATCTATTCCCATTGGAATACCTGTGTGGAATGTGATTGCACAAGAGCTATGGGAGATGATTGGACATTGTCTTCAACATCATTAGTGACAAACGATGCCCCCCATTTCACATACTGATATTGTTTCTGAATATCTAACTAAAGATTCCCTTGTGCTTTCCCATTTCCCTTGTCCTGTTTCATAATAAATTTCTTTGGGGGGGGGGGAATCAGCTTTGGAACACTTGATTTTCTTCTTTGTGGTGAAATACAAATCTATTTTTTTTTATTAAAAAAGAAGAAAAATAACAGCAACTTTTATTCTTTTTAGCGGGTCATATGTGTGGATTTGAAGGTGCAAATGTAGAAGAGAAGGCAAGAAAAGTTAAGTTCATCCTTGTGCAAAGTGGGAATCTCAAGGAGCTAATCAGGGAATTATTGGTGCTTGACTGACACATTTTGGTCTGGGGGATCCATATTAGAGTTATACGATAATATGATAATATTGAAGATAATGATGACAGGATATCCTGACTTTTTATCCATAGTTACATTTTCCTTTCTTGTTCATGTATAAGATTAATAATAAGGTCCCCATGTGGGTGTAGGGACAATTTCCACGAGTTATGCTGTCATTCTATGTGTAATCATTTATATAGACATATTCTAATTGCTGGTTTGGAAAACTTATTAATAATGAATGCATTTTGAGAAAGGATTGCTTTCAAAAATTTTAATGGTACAAATATAATCATTTCTTTGTAAGCTTCCCAGATCTCAGCAATTTTGACCATTTGAAAAACTTTAGTTTCTACTTCACTTAAAATCAAACAATTTCTTCTGCTTTATATAAAACTCTTACATTAAGCATGTCAGATTCTCTTGAAAGATCTAAAATTTTGGGGGAAATGACAGGACTTGTATTTAATAAGCACAAATGGAACTTTTGTGGCATAGAATTCTTTTTAAATCAATTTCATCAACAATTGACTATAAAGATAATCCATATGTTGCACTTCACTAAAATAACATAGCACTGTAAGTTTTCTATTGCTATAAGAAATTGACAGCTTTTAGCATCTTTGGTGATAATGTCCAATTCCTAAATCACCCTTTATAATGAAATCCAACAATCTTTCAATTGCAGTATTAATAATAAATTGTGCTACTGGTCCTTATTTTCTAAGGTATATACATTATTAAAGCATAAGATTTATTCAGGTCCCATTTAAGCTTCTTTTAGTTTGGTTTGCAAAAATACAGTAAATTAAATCCTCCTTTCATTGGATCAGTGAACTTCAAAAATGTTTGAAATTGTTTTGGCTGTAAAATTAACTAAATACATCTCTGAAAAAACCCCACACACAAGGGTTTTTTTAAGTTATAGGTACAACACCAGTAATATATTGCCTTCAACTTGAAGATTCTATTGTTACTTTTCAGTTTAGAAAAGTAATTTCTAAACTTAGAAAAGAGACATACAATAATGGGAGATACTTATGTCTACATCTCCTGTTTGCAAACACCCTAAAAGACATCTAATTAGCCACTGTGAGAAGCAAAGTATCTTATCAATAACCTTGGCCTAGCCCAGCCTGGCTGTTTCTATATTCTTATATTATTGCCTATTTTTTTGTTTACTTGTTTCTAGATTTCTTGTGGCCTTTAAGCTTTTGTTTAGAATAAATAGATATATGTCATTCCTCAAAGTAGAATTTGAATTGTAAAAATAACAACAAAGTAGAGATTTCTATGCTCCACATCAATCCAACTTCCAACTTGTGGAAGAATAACACATGACAGTTACGATTGAGTCATAGACAAAGTCTTATCACTCTGGCCTGCAATTGGGCAAATAACTCTGATATTCAGATTTATCCACTAGTATCTAAGAATTAGGCAGGTGGTACCTGGCTCAACAGTTGTAACTGTGAAAGGAAGCTAGGTGTCCTAGTGAAGCCCCATTTAAGTATGAGCCATCAGGGTGCTGGAGCTGCCAAGATTCCCAATGCAATCCTAAACTGCATCAACAAAGGGATAGTATCAATATCATGAGAAGTGATAGTACTGTTTTATATTGCACTAGTGAAGCCACACTTGGGATATTGCATCCTGTTCTGGTCACCATGATAAAGAAGATACTGAGGTCCTAGAAAAAGTACATAGAAGAACAACGAAGATGACAAGGAGTATGGAGCTGAACTGTATGATAAATGGTTAAGTGACTAGGTATGTCTAGATTAATGAAGAGAAGGACTAGTGTGACATAATCTGTCCTCCATACTTGAGGTTCTCAACTTAAAGAAGATGGGTCAACTTATTCTCCAAAGCACTTGAGAGTAGAACAAGAAACAATAGCTGAAAGCTTATTAAAGGGAGATCCAACTATCCAACTAAGGAGAAATTTCCTTACAATGACAAAAAATAATCAGTGGAATGGTTTGCCTCTAGAAGTTGTGGGTGCTCTATCATTGATTTTCCAGAAGAAGTTTGACAACCATTTCTCTAGAATAGTGTAAAGTCTACAGCTCAAGCAGGGGGTTAGACTAGAAGATCTCCAAGATCCCTTCCAATCCCATATTCTGCCAATTTCATAATCTTGGACTAGGGAGAGCATTGTAGAAATCAAAATGTATTTTTGATACACACTTTTGTTGCTGTATCTATTCAGCAGACAAAGAGAAATACGTTTATTTTTGTAACATAGGTATTCCTCAAATGCATTCTAAGATCTACCCTCATATAAAATATTCAAAAGAGAAAGTGAGCATGTACTTTATTGTGAATTGCCTCAACCCATCTGTGGTCAGATTTGTGTGGACTGCAGCTTTGTCCCAAGTGATAAAAATTGTTGTTGTTTTTTAATGGATAAATCATGGCTGTAGTAGCATTAAGTAGTTGGCAACATTTCAGAAACTGTCTAGTGAAAGCAAACCACTAAAGTAGGTAACCACATAGTATTCCTTACTGGTAGATGCAAGCATTCTGGAATTGTTTTGAATGAAAACATCTCGACTTTGCTGCTGGTTTAATTATTTGTTTTTCAGTGTAGATATAGGGACTGGATGCGTAAAATACTAATTAAAAATATATATTTTTTTAAAATAAATTTTATGGCAAATTTGAAATCGCACTGGATATGAAGTTGTGAACAACAACACATACATATACAAATAGTCCATACTTATCAACCACAGTTAGAACCAGTTGCTTTATTGCTAAGCAATACAGTTATAAAAATGAAAAAAAATCGAAGTCGCTAGTGAAGCTGTGTCAATCTCCTGCAGGATTACCAATAAAAATTATATTCTATCCCATCTCTAAAAACTATCATACTTTAGGTTCCATTCACTGAATATATTCAAAGCAGATCTTATATATTTGATAGGATGCTTTAATTTGGATTCCCACTCATACATAGATTGGATTAAGAATTTATATAGACTTTTCCAACTTTTTAATTTTATTACTAACAGCCCATGCATTTGATGGAGTGGCAATAAATGGAAATAAATATCATAATAAATATATTAGTTTTTAACCACAAAAGATTTATATCATAACAATCTTTTTAAATGTTTGCTAAAAACAGTAAAATGCACATTTTAAAAACATTATGTTGCAACACACAATAAGTGGATTTAACTGTGAGAAAAAAGTGTATGTGTACATGCACATACATGCAAGAATTCATTACTTGCGTATGCATTTTAGTTTTGTTGTATCTATTTCATTCCTCCCTCTTAAACAAACAGAAATTTACAATTCTAAAGGCAAGGGCATATATCTTCATATAATACATATGATTGAATCAGTAATTTCATATGTGGTGGATCATTTTGCATTCTGAATCAACAATTAATTTGTACAATTTGTTTACCCTGAGAAAGATTTCTGAATGGGTATCTATTAAATATGCTATATCACTCTATTAATATATAAAGTATCCTGGCTGTGAATCCCTCTGTTTTTTGTTCAACTTATCTGAAAAGAATCATGTTGAGAGACACTTTTAAATTCTATTTATGGTAGCATGCAGAAATCTATATGTTGACTTAAAAAAAAAATTATATAAAAACATTGTACTGTTGTACAGCATTGTGCTGTTTGTTTATAGACTTATCAGAAGGATCAGTAAAGTTTTTCATATTTAAATTTTTTTTTTAAGATTTACTTTTCTAAATATTTCAAATAGTTAGGCAGAATCAGAGATAATACCTTGGGCATGGATCATCTCTTTGACCTATATGGAATATTTACTGAGGATTTATCTTTGTTCTAATAAAAAAAACATTTTTGGTTTTGCAGATGGAGTTTCTTCGGCTTTTCAGGAGTTTCATTTGAAAGGATGAAGAGATATTTCCCGACACTGCAACTTATCTGATAAATCAAATATACTGCTGTGGGGTGTGTGTGGGGAGATCTTAATCACTCTGGACATGAGTTGAACAACTAAAGTTTTAATGCAGAAAAATGCACAGACAAGACAGTGGTCATCTCTCTTCCGTAGTCTGAAAAGGAAATGTGCAATGTTAGTTCTATAGGACCCATATTCTGTTTAGCAGATGCATTTAAAATTCAGTAGATTGGTTCCTTCTCTGGGCTATTTCACAATTCATCAACCATTAACAAGATGTGTTGCAAAACACAGGAAGTTGTCATCAACCATGTCAAACCAGAAGTCAGTCTATCATAGTATGGATGATGGCTCTCCAGGATTTATTACAGAATATGCAGTCTCTGATGCTGCTCCAGGCAACTACTGATCCTGGGGATTCTGTCAAGAAGGACCCTAATGCAATTATTTACAAAACCCAAGCTTAATTCTCAATTATTTGTAAATGGCTCTTGCTGAAAACTTCCTAAGGTGCTAATTAGGCAGCCAATTCAATACAAGTCAACTTCCTGGTCTCCAACTATCAGATATTTTTTAGTTTAGCACAAGCAAATTTGAATTATTGCTTGTGATAATTCATGTCATATTCCTCTAATAATCATCATATTGTGATAATTTGGTTCTATAAAAGGATGAATGGCACTTCACAGATCCTCTCATGTTTTACTTGAGTAAGGGTCTTTCAGAGGCATATGGCACAAGAGTGACAAATGAGAAACCTATTGGTTCAACCTAAAATATGAACTGGAAAGGATAATAAAAGTCCTTGATGAATCTTTGTCCCGGAGGGGGGGGGGGTATCAAAATTTGCTTTATGTGTCTTATTCAGTCCATTTCTAACCATGTTTCCTGATATCCCCAAAAAGGAAATAGCAGCACAAAATACCACTGAATTTAATAAAGGAAGGAGATTTAATCTATATTTTTCTTTGGTCAAATGCAACTTTGTAGAAGTTTTCCTTTGCAATCCATTAATCTTACAAAGATTTCAAGGTAATTTCCCAACCATACCTTTATTATGAACATTTTCTTTCAGTAATTGTCTTCTTTGTTGTTGAAGAAGCTAACTTCAAAGGAAACTATTGTCACTCAGAATGTGTGGAGGCAAACCATCTTGTTTTTTCAGTGGATAAAGACAATCACATATAAATTGAACACAATTCCTGTGTAAATACAGTGAAGATTAAAATATAGAAAGTACTCAATTTATGACCATTCATTTAGCAATCGTTCAAGTTACAGCGATTCTGAAAATGTGACTTATGACTTTCTTCAAACTCACACGTCCGTCGCATTCACATGACCAAAGTCCCTGGAATTGGAAAGAGTCTGTATTTACAACAGTTGCATTGCCCTGGGGCCAAATGATCATTATCTGTGACCTTCCCAATAGTCTTCCAACAAACAAAGTCAATGGGGAAAGTTGTATTTGCTTAATGATCTCATGATCTACTTAATAACTGTTGTATTTGCTTAACAACAGCGGCAAAAATAGGTGTACATATATGCATGACTCACTTAAACCAAAACTCTGGTCTCAAATGTAATAACTTGAGGTTTACCTGTACCAGAGTACAATTGAGTTTTAAAATGGCATACTAAAGTAAGCTTACTTGTATTGATTATACACTTATCAGCCATCTTTACTGATGTTCTATTGACATCTGATATCCCAGGTACTTTCATATACAAATGAAATAGATTAGTCAGAATGTTTGCTCATTGCAGATGCAGCCACTGATGAGAAGGAGCGCATTCTGTGCCTTGCATTGTGATTTGGAAATGTGCCTATTGTATCCAATCTGACTGCTCAGAGCAATAACTTAGAAGGAATGAATACATTTGTTTCAAGAAGATGGAATTTGTTTCATTAGTATTGTTTAAATTAAATTCGAGGGAGAGATCATTTGTAGTGCCGCATCTAAAGTATATTTGTAAATAGGTAGCTGCATGGAAGATACATAAGCCATCACCCAACAGAAAATAAAAAATGAAAAAGCATTTTTGAAATGTTCATTTTAAGAAATGCATATTTTTATTTAAGAACAGCTTTTGTCATATGCCTTAGACCCAATCAAAACCCTAGCTTTGTTTTTTGTAATTTATAAAAATATTCTGCTTTTCTTTTATACTATTTTTGTGGAAAAAATGTAATGATATATGGAAAATTTTGTAAATCCTATTTTTAAATAAATATTTCCTAGTCATATATAATGAATGATATATGTATTGTATCAATTATATGTAAACATAATTGTATTGTCATCATTTTTAGCTTATATTTTAGCAGCTAAAATGCTGCTTCTTAAAATATGTTGATTATCACATTAAAAAATTCTGGTTTATGTAATATTTATATTGTTCATGGATGTTTGATTACTTAAAGGAATATTATTTATAAAGATACATGATGCAGCATAACTACTACTGCTAAAATGGGTTGACTAAAATGGAAGGCATCACAGGAACCACAGCTCCAGATAGATTACATCAAAATGCATGATAGCAATTCTGAGAATGGTTTGGAACAGTTCCTGATAGTGTTGCTTTTAAACATTGTACAAATAAAATGTAAATGACAACTAAGGTTTGTCAAAACAGCTATGTGTGGCCTTGAAGATTCTATCTCTGGTGTACTAGAAATTCTGTGTTGGTTGTCTCAGGTGCAAGAAAATGCAGTACAATAAATAACCAGATATGAAAATGATGTCATGTATGATGCACATTTTGATTTAGCTTACTCTGGCAATGTGTCACAATCAACAGTGGGATTAGATAGTCTATACTTGCCAAGTCTAGAAGTATGCATTTGATAGAGAGGCTGTCATTTCATGGTAACCAGTAATAAAACTGATTTTTGTTGTGAGGATTTCTCGGAAGGAACACATTTACTCAAGCATAGTTGGGCATTATATACAAATACACTGAAAATATACAGTCAGATGTAGGCTGTCTGTTAATGGAAGAAGCTTTCAATAGCATGCTTATTCCGGACAGAAGCATCAATATTTGCATAACATAACAAAACTTAATTTGGTTAGGATTCGTTTTCTCTAAGTACATTGCAGAAATCTAGCCCTCCACTATTTGATTAGTTTTGATTCCTCTTATTGTACAGACTAAGAAACATGCTAATAAATGGACAAAAATATGTGGAAAACAATAACATGGATCAACCACATTCAGTTCTAGTAATTGGGGTATTTGTAAGTGATGCCATTGGAACACAGTTAGTGAATAAATGGTAGAAGAACTATCTTATTATTTATAGACATAGCTCTGAGTCCTGAATTTGTTTGAAATTCCAATCCCTATCAAATTTACCACAAGAATATATATTGTACAAGTGGGGGGGGGGGAATTATCATGCCATGTGTTTTTGTCTGGGGTGTGGGAATTTCTACTGGCTTAATCTGAACTAGTATATTGGCTTTTTATTTATTCATTATTATTTATTGCTTTATTAAATTTGTATTAATTATACAAACTTTATTTAATAAAACATTACTACAATATACTGCATTGGTGAGACCACAGAATAATCTTATTGGTCACCTATCCATGGCACTTTCAGACTGAACCTTACTATACTTAAGCAAATATGTGACCTTCTGTGTCTCTTTCAAAGTAACATGCATTTTCTGAGGATAAGATATTTTATAAGCTTGTAGATACCTGACCATACAATCTGTCTGGTACAGCAGATTTAAGATTGCTTATCAAAAGCAGTAAATGAACTTCTTCTAAATGCTACATAATGTTCTTCAAATTTGTAAGGGAAAAAAATGAAGGGAATTTCAGAAGGATCAAACAATATCTAATCTATTTAATGACTACATTCATTTCCTTTTTGTGCCATTCTTGGTTATAAGCCAATTTACAAAGCATTTGCTGTGGATGCTTTATGTTAGTTTTGTTTTGTTTTGGGGGGATTGCGCTGTAAGTCAATCAAAGAGTTAATAAAAACGCCTTGCTCTAAAAGGTCATTTCTAAACTAAATGCAGCAATTCAAAGTGGGAAATGGAATGAATGCCAAGAAGATGTTTAATGAAGTAACATTTGAGCTGTATCCTTTCAAGAACATTTGCAGAATTGTTTGATTGCCTTAGAGTACACAGGAAACAATAAACCTACACAGCACAAGCAGGGTCTCTGATGGTTACGTTTGCTGAAAGACTGCCAAACTACTTGGAATTTTAAGTACAGTACAGTTAAGGTCGAACAATCTCATGCGGTAGAAATTTTGCCATGTATTCTGGATACCAGAGTAGTTTGGGGCTAGAATTCATTTTATGAATTTCAGTACTTAGAATTACTCAGCCTACTCATAGCATACATTACACAGCTATTTAAATAACACTAGGAATTATTCTTGGAACACATTCACACAATACTATTATACCACAAGGCATTGCTGCCATGAAAGGTAAATTAAAATCCTGCTGTAAGTGATGGAGTTTGCTACTGGTATGCAAAGCAAGTTTATTTTAGATGTGTGAAAAGACAAATGGAGCAGAATGGCATCTCTTCAAATGAATCCCCAACGCTGTTGATTAAGTGTAGTGGTTTGCCCAGGATTTGTAGCTGTATTATTCTCAATTCATAGAAATTCTTTCATAGATAGCACTCACCTTTGATCATTTTCTCAAGTCAATGTTTCTAATATGCATCCTTTTCTAACTTGATTCTTTGATAGTTAGAGAGCCCAGTTGACTACTGATTCTATAAGCATAATGATATGAGAAACAGAAAATCACAGAGGCATAGAATCAAGATCACATGAAATGTTACTGCTTCATAAGGCCCTGGTAAAACAACATTAGGAAAACTGCATCCAGTTTTGGTCATCACAATATAAATAAGATGTTGAGATTCTGGGAAGACTGCAGAGAAGAGCAAAAAAAAGGGCACTGGAGGCTGAAACATATGATTAACATAGGATTAAGGGTTGCAGTGATTTGGTATATCTAGTCTAGGGAAAAGAAGTGTAGGGATGACATGATACCCTAGATGTGCTCCAATATTTGAGGGGCTACCACAAAGAAGAGGACGTCAACCTATTTTCCCAAGCACCAGAAAACAAGACAATAAACAATGAATAGAAACTAATCAAGTAAAGAAGCAACCTAGAACTAAGGAGAAATTTCCTGATAGTGAGAACAATAAACCAGTGGAACAACTTGCCTTTAGATGTTGTGGGTGCTCCAGTGGTGGGTTTCAAAATTTTTTAGAACCTATTCTGTAGGTGTGGCCTGTTTTGTGGGGGTGGCTCGGCGATCATATGACCGGGGAGTGACTTGACAGTCATGTGACTGGGTGGGAGTGGCTTGGCAATCATATGACTGCGTGGGAGTAGCCAACTTGATGTCACTCACCAGGAGATGTCATGGATTGAGTAAAATGTGGTGAAGCTCACTTAACAATGCTCTTGCTTAGCAACCAAAATTTTGGGCTCAATTGTAGTCATAAGTCAAGGACTATCTCTGCCTTCCTCTGCATGGCAGCCTTGTCCTAGTAAACACCTTCTCCTTTCTGGCAATTTTCCTCTGTTAGATGCACCAAAATAATCCATACAATATAAGGCTTCCTGCTGCATGGGGTTGGACTAGATGACCTCCGAGTAGTCTTCCAGCCATAAATTGCTGTGCTGTTTTAGTTTCTTTCTGCTAACAAAGAAACCTGACTGAGGGTCATTCCACATTCTGCCAGATAGAGATAATGAGATAATGACCCTAGAGAAAGTTTGGCTCCATTCACAAGCAGGGAATCATCCAAACCCTTTTAGAAACACAAAGCCCATATTGCACAAACCCCAAAACTTCAGAAACAAAAAACCATATAACATATAACCATATAATCATATGACCAATTTGTTTTTTTCAATTTAAAGCTTCAATTTAAAGTTATAAGCATTAAGACTTGTGGACTTCAACTCCCAGAATTCCACAGCCAGGCATGCTCAGTTCCAATTTAAAGTGACAGCATTTGTTTTTCTCCTTTGTGAAAGAAGTTTCCATCTTTCTTTTTCTTTCTCTTTCTTTTCTCCCTCTCTCCCTGCCTCTGTCCCTCCCCCCTGTCCCCCCCCCCTTTCTCACTCTCTCAAACACACACAGAGAAGTTGGACTGGATATCTCTCCCAATGGCTTGAAAGCAGCTCCTCTGCTATCCCCCCATTCTCCCACTACCTTCCCTAAACACCTCTCCATTGCAAATGCAGCATGCTGTCCGGGTGGGAAATGTCTGGAACACAATAAAGCCCACCCACTCATCTCCTGCTGGTAGGCTGGGTGAGAGGAGAGGCAAAGAAGCCGGAGGGGAGCTGATCAGAGCCTTTCAAAAGACAGAGTGGGGGAAAGTGTGTGTTCTACAGCATGCCCCTTTGCCTGGCTTCCCTCCTCCTGTGGTCTCCTCAGTGCTCGCTTGTGCTCTCCCTCCCAAGTCTAGTTTGATTGCAGGCGGAGCCATGTTGCCTTTTCAAACCTATAGTCAGTGAAGCTGGGCTGGATTTCTGCATAGCTTTATCCAGCTGTCGAGGGAGGGGGAATGACTTCCTCCCCAGGCTCCCTGTCCATTTCTCTCTCTCTTACACACACATAGCTGGATAAAGCTATACAAAAAGCCAGCCCTCACCGGTGTCCAGCTTCACTGACTGCATCAAACTACACAAGAGAGAGAGAGAGAGCAATCGAGAGTGAGCGAGCCAGGGCCCTTCCCTCCAGCCTTTGCCCAAAGCCCCGCACCGCACCAGGAGGATTAAGTTTGAATTCTTTCCCCCCCCCCTCCGATCCACACGTACCTTTTCCAGCTGCTTCAGAGAGGGCTGCTCTTGCCTCGGGTCTTCTTGAGCCAAGGTGGCGCAGTGGTTAAATGCAGCACTGCAGGCTACTGCTAGATCAGCAGTTCAGCGGTTCAAATCTCACCGGCTCAGGGTTG